CCAGATAAGCACAATTGCAAAAATCAGTGTTTAAAACTGAAGTTCATATTTAGTGAATTCCTTACACAGCACACCTTCCAGCCATTCTGCTAACCCCCATTTTCTGCAATATATCACGTGTTGCTTTCTCAAATGGTATTGACACTTAGATTAGTTGTAACTGCTGTTGCATTTATTTACCAGACAAAAATACCTGACTACTCTTCCTCAACAACTGGAGTTCCTATACACCTACTTACAGAAAAACCTATTGTACATTTTGTTTTCTTTTTTATTTCTCAGCTTTAGTTCCTGAAAGGCACATATATTCAGTTTTCCATTTTTTGGTCCAAATCCAATAAGTACATTGCATTGACTGTTTTCTCTTTGCAAAGTGTTGCTTCCTGACTTGTTTTTTACTAGTCTGGGGGTTTTTTACTTGTGTTTTTACCCACCAAATAGTGCACTCTTCCACATATTGAGCAGACAGCTTTTTCAGGAGAATGCTGTGAGAAACAGGGTTTTACTGAAGTCCAGGTAAACCATATCCACAGTCTTTTGCTCATCCACCAAGCAAGTTGCTTGGCTGTGGATGGAGATGAGGTTGGTCAAGCAGGACCTGCCTTTCATAAACCCATGTTTGTGCTGGTTAGGCCTGATCCCTGCACATGCCATGTGGGAACACTCAGAATGAGCTGCTCCATGACCTTCCCTGGCACCAAAGTTGGGCTGACAGGCCTCTGAATTGTCCTTCTGGTAGATGAGTGTCACATTTGCCTGGCTCCAGGTACCCAGGCCTTTCCCCATTAACCAGAACTGCTGGTGAATGATGGAATGTGGCTTGGTGAGCATTTCCCACTGGCTTCCTCAATACCCTTTGGTGGATCCCATCTGGTCCCATAGGCTTGTCTGTGTGTCTGAGTGGTGCATCAGGTCACTGACCATTTCCCCTTGGATTATGGGAGCCTCCTTCTACTCCCTGTCCCTGTCTTACAGCTCAGGAGGGTGGGTACCTGGAAAACAACTGGTCTTGTTATTAAAGACTGAGGCAGTGAAGGCATTAGGTAGTCTTTTCCTCATCCTTTGCTTTGTTTCCACCTCACAGCCAGTAAAGGGTGGTGATACTCTTGGTGGGGGGACCCTGCTGCATCATTCACTTGCATTGCTGAGACGCGTTCTCTTTTCTCCCATCAGATCCTCTCTCAATTAGAAAATGAGGCAAAACTGTAGTTGGTAATTTGTTGAAACACGAACTTAGAGTTGTCATTTTATTTCCTGAAGTCACATAGCTTTAGGTATGAAAACAGAATTTTCTGGGTAACTATAGCTGGTGAGATTTTATGCTGTGTGACTGATTACTTTGAGGGTAAATTTCATATGAATCCTGTCAACAATGATAAATTGCTTATTGTTCGTTGCAGTCTACCAATCAGGCCAAGTTAATGCAACTACAGCATGCTCTAATGTTTTAAGGATACCACTGGAGGCTTTTGCAGATTATTTTAAATTGTGACAAAGTCCTGTCAGGATAAATTCCAGTTATATTTTTCTAAAATAGTTAAAAGCAAAATCTGTGCAGAATCTAAGCCACCAAAATATTTAAAAATATGAAGCTTATTATTTTTAGTTAATCAGCTAGAGATGCATTTAAATTAGACATTTTTTTGTTCATTTTCTGAATACTTAGAATATAATCTTCAAAGGCTTATCTGAATTGAATATATAAACAGTGTACAGAAAGTCCATTTAAACATGTACTTTTTTCAGTTGGGTTTCACGTGATTAACTTTCCAAACATTTAGATATTATTATCATGTTAGGTTTTCTGTTTTATAGGAAAAATCTTCTGTCTTAAAAGTAATGTTGTCTTTTACATTAATTTGCAAAATTCAAAGTCAGAACATTCTTACAGCATATATGTGTGTGTGTGTGTGTATATTGTTTTTTTTTAATGTAATATGTTAAGGAACCAGTAAGAGCAGGGCAGCAAAGAAATATTCAGGTCAGCTAAATATGGTGTTTGTTTACCCTGCAGAAAAGGAATTAAAAGCATTTTATGGCTATTTAAGGGTATTTATAGGAATAAATTGTAGGATTGCCCTGTTCATCCAAGCAGTCTTTGTTACCTGCAGATAGCTCATGAATCAGAGGTCAGATGAGTCAGAAGTCATGCTAAATGAGTTTTTTAAAGCCATTTGTTGTCTTAACAGGCAATAGAAAGAAGAAAAGCCTTTCTTCTCAGTTTGTTTCTTGAATGTCAGCATTTTCACACATTTATTTATTCTTTTCTTCTCTTTCTGATAAGCATCTTTAGTAAGTAAGAGATACTGTTTCAAGTTTTAGTTGTTAAAACACGTTTCATCAGTGGTGCAGTGCATGCAGGTTGATAGGACCGACCATTTCTGTTTCTTGGGAATAGGCAGTCATTTGGGGGAACTGTTGCAAATTTTAGAAGAATCTCTATAAATTTGTAGCTCCATAGAATTACTATAAAGTTACAGACTATATAACTTGTAGTCCTAGATTTTCATTGCTTTAGAGAAGGTTATCTCTTCCTGCTATTTACAGAAATTTTACTTTAAACACTCTTCAGTGATAGAAATATTTGGCCAGGAAGCACTCTTAAGATGGCAACTGTGTTCATTGGGCTTTGCTTATTTGCTGTTTCTGTTCATAGTTTTGTCACCTCTTGTCATGGATTTTAACAAGCTAGACTCACTAGGGCATTACAGCATCATACCAGAAGTGAAATTTTAGTTAATCTTTTTTCCAGGTTTAAGGCTCTGCTGTATGTACTTAATAACCCCAGAGTTCTGCCACAGAGAGCAGTGGCTCAATGAAGAGCACCGAGTGTATGTCAGTCACGTATCACTAAATGTAGCACATGCGGTGAGCTCATCTAAGGATTTTCTGTTTGCTGTAATTGTCAGATAGCCCTGAGGTTTTTTTATATGACAATTTCTGAAAAATAATACCTTCTGCAGAGAAAGTACAGAAATACTGAAAAAAATATTAAAAGTGGTATGCCTTGAAGACCATAAGCTAAAATAAAATGAGAAATAGTATCTTTACTTGTCTTTTTTTCACTGATTACTGCTTTCTTTTCTACTGTACTTCCATTCTGGTTTTATATTTATTGCTGTTACAATTTAGAGACAGCAAATTGTAGCTGGAAGTAGTACTAAAACAGAGAGGACAATGTGCATAAAATCATAGGTGTATTAAACATGGTAGGAAGAATGCAAAAAACACAGAAATAGATGTAAACAGAAAATCAACTTAATTTATAGCGATTTATTGCCTTGATAATGCATATGTCTTTGACTAATTGTTGTTTTGCATTGCTTTGGGTAAAGAACAGAGGATACTTCAGCTATGCAAACCACAAAACATCTGCCTACCTTTTCCAAACTTTACAGAACGTCAGTTGTTGTTGCTTTTTATTGCTGCAAGGTTGGCCTCTTGCTACCAAATTCTGTTATTATATTATCCTGCATCTGTATGATTTCCATCCACACATTCCATTATGTATGTTGTGGATTCCATCTGTTGAATTCAACATTTTAAATCAAAGGAGCAAAATCACCTCTGCTGAAAAGAAAGGAAAGATGTCATATAGCTGTAGTTTCTCTGATCTGTGATAGAGGCATTTGCTGTTTCTCACTGTCTTCATTTGAGGGTATAAACCAGCAAAGGCCCACAAGTCTCAAGAGTTCCCTGTGTATCAGAGGTGGCACTTGGTCATTTGTTGGAATAGGAATAACTGGGTCCTTACTGAATATTCAGCATAAATGCACAGTGCAAAAATTAGTTATCTAGGCTCTTGGGCTGACTTTAAATACCAAGTTGGTTTCTTTTTTAAGCCCTATTTCAAACAGTTTTCCATAGCATTTCTTCAGACTTTTTTATCAGTAAACCTTCTGAAATAAATTAAAACCTTGAATTCACTCCAAGGCTACTTGTTACATTTAATAAATTGTATGTCCTTGAATGAGGAAGGGGAAAATTTTGACCAAAACGTACATCCAGCCCTCTTTGTACTGATAAAAACATCTTGATATCCTAATTATAAATTACAGTATTCAGAATATGAATTTTTCTTAATGTCTTGTTTGTTGGTTTATGCTGTCATTTGCATATTGCAGTTTCTTATTAAGTGGAACACATTAAATATTTTAACATTATGCAATTAAAATATTTTCTTCGCATGTGTATTCTTATAATGCAAATGCCTTGTGGTATATATATGAAAGTCTGTTAATTTTAAGGAAAAACAAATCATTATTTCTTTTCTTTATGTTTTTGCTAGAAATTAATCTGTAATATGAGAACCAAAAATTAAATAACCAGAGAACAGATTTAACCTTATTTTTAAGTTACTAGATTTTGGGAAACAGGGTAGAGGGAAATGCTTTTCAGTGTGACATAAAAACTCATCTACTATTTTAAGGGAAGGGTTTTTTTGTTTAATTTTTGTACAGATCTCACTTTTACCTCTTAATTACTGTGTTTACTCTCTTGAAACTGAGTACAGGGACAGTATGCTGATGATGAAAGACTCTCAGGTCTCACACAATCTCTTACATGTACTATCCCTGCCCATGTGATCTGCAGCAGTTTAAAATATTTCTTTCTGAATCTTTTTGCTCAGCTTAATGTTCCCCTCCCATGGTCTGAAGGAAAGAACCATGATAAATGAGCATTGCATAAACATTTTCAATGTAAGATTTTTTATTTGAGTTTAAAATTATTCTGTTTCCTGTTTTCCTTTGTTCTCAAGAGAATAGACACTGCTTTAATTCAAGGATCAATAGTGTCAGAACTCTAAGGAACCTGCATTTTTTCAGTTTTTAGTTTTACCTGAGTTTTGCATCACATGTTCAACAGAAACTGAAATATTTGGTTGTTGTAATTATGGCACAGCATGAAGCATTTAAGGCCTTCTAAAGGTATCAATAGCAGTTATACTTTCCTCTGCACTGAACTCTGTGGTACAGTTTTTAAATAATTTTCTTTTCCAGGTTCCTTACAGCCTTTCCTGGAAGCCTGCAGCAATGAATCCTTCTTCCAGACTTGTTCTGTATTGCTTCGAAGTTCTAAGCTAGATATTGCAGTTTTGGAAAAGCTCTGTGTTATACTGCAAAAACTCTCCAGAATAAAGTAATCCTTTATTACCATTATTCTGTTAGCTATTATTAGGTTAATGAACTTGGTGACCTTTTTTCTTTTCCAAAAACTCATCTCTGTTTTTCTGTTTATTCCCTCCACCATATACAATGCTGGACTTGTAATTGTAGCAGTTAAATTTAAACTGTTTCTGCCATAGAGGTTTAAGATAAGCTCCTCAATTAGTGCATAAATCTAGTTCAGTTTGCAGAGTACAAACTAGAAAAAAGCCTCACAATGTAGACTTAAAGAGGAATTATTCCTTACATCTGCAGGTGACAAAAATGCTTAGAATTCTTAGAAGAGAATCCTAGACTTCCAGTTTTACTCAGATACTTAGTAGTAAGCACCTTTGAAATTTTAGTCTTACCTTTGACTTGCATTCAAGCTTCATCAGTTTTCATTTCCTTAAAAAAATTTAAGATTTTGAGCCAATTGAGCCCTTTTGGGAATGTTCAACTTTTTAAACTGTGTTCCCATTGCTTACTGATTATTGTAACAAAGGTCATCATATCAATAGCAATGTGCTGCTGGGCTTCACTGGCACATTGCTCAGTGGGGTTGTTTCATGATTGTAAGGGGATATCTAAACTGAGGAATTTTTACATTGGACTTAAAGCTGTTGACAAAACTGAGGTTTTCATTTCTTGTAAGGAATAAAATTGAACTCTAGGAAAAAAAATTTTCCTATAAAATCTAAAAGTATAACTGGCATTTACTAGTCAAAGTAAAATTGGCTCATAAATCCTAATTTTTTTATTTGTCTCTGAAATCTTATTTCAGATGAGTGAAAAGCCCTTTCCTTGAGCTTTCATTATACTATGTGTACATATCACTTACTCAAGAAAACTAATAATTTTTGTTAATTTTTTGCCAAATTTTTCTCACCATGCATTGAAAACCTTATGCTTAGAAACATACATAGAAGAATTATATGAAATACTCAAAATAATGCACATTTTGCTTCATTAAAAATATATTTTCTGTAGCATCTTCAGTGTTTATATGAAACCTCTCAATTTTAAATTGACAGTTATTTTATTCCATATCTTTTGCAGAAGCAATAAGAAGCTGTTTGAAATGTTTGGTCTTCATCGAATGTTCCAAGAACTGCGTAGAACTGTAGATCCAGGTCACACCTTCCTCTGTATAAACCTCAATTCAATTCTGCTGAATTTGGAATTCTTGACAAGTAACTCTCTTGACTCCAGTCTAAGCACAAGTCACTAGCACGAGCTTTCAATCCAATTATTGTTCTGTATAATTTATACCAGCTGCCTATGTTACTTGAAATTTGGAGGGTTTTTTTTACGGATGGGTGTTGTGTGGATTCTCACATTTTACTCTTTCATAAAAAGGAAAATTAAAAACTTTGTAATATGCTAGATAGCTTTCTTCAATATTTTCTAAAGTGAAATAATGCTGCTGTTGTAAATGACTCATGCAATGTAAGCAATTGAATCCTTAGAGTAAGCAGATCAGAAATACCAGTCTTTCCTTACAGGTATGAATCTAACTTACTTTTGATTCTTCAGAGAGTTTTATAAATTCTTTAACTTATTTTATGGTTGATAAGTAGCAGACAGGTATCTTAGCAGATTATCTTTTGATAAACCTGCAGTTTTAATGATTAAAACCAGATTTTAATTTAACATAACTAGATGTATTGAATAAGAAATTTTGTTGGTTTGATTTCAGAATTTTCTTAGAGTTTGTTTGATCATTTCCTGTATTTAAGTAACATTTAGTATTTTATCTTGCTTTGTATAGTGCAACTTTGGATGATAGTATCTTTGCAAATGTAAATAAAAGCATTTCTTAAAATGTCTGGCAATAGTAATCTGTAACATAAAATTATTTTGTTGCTTCTGCTGTATTTTGTTTTAATTTGCAATACAATCTTCACAGTACTCACATTTCTGAGTATGAATATATTTTTGTCTCCCACAGTTCAGTGTTTAGAAGTTCTTACAAATTGGAAATAGGATACTTCTAAAAATTGAAAGTAGTGTTCCATTGCTGATTTGTACTGTAATTACTGAAAATCTCTATTTATAAAATGGAAAATGCAGTTAAAGCTTAAAGATCTGCTGTATTTCAGTCGTTGACTAACACTGACATCAGTATAAAACTTCAGAGAGTTTTTATTTCTCATTTTTTGCCTTATTTGGTTGGCTGGTTTTGGTTTGGTGAGTTTTGGTTGGTTGGCTGAGGTTTTTTTATTTTGTTTGGTTTGGTTTGGTTTTGTCTTTTGGGGGGAGGCGAGGTAGGTGTTTTTGTTGTTGTTGTTGTTGTTGTTGTTTTTTACCAGAAGTCTATGAACCAGTCTTTGAAATTGAATTCTAACTGCAAATATTTTTCCAGCAACTTGACTTAACATTTCTAACAAGCTTTTCTATGAAAGGAGTCTACACCAGATTTGGCACCAAGTATGTCTAGAAGAGAGAGCAAGCACTGTACACTCTCTTGGCAGGAAACCAACTCTAGGTAATTTTTAAATAACACTAATCACAGATAAAAGAATTTCCTCACAATCAATTACATTTTGAAATAACTATTTCTTCATCAGTAGTTTTGGGTTTCTGTCAAATTTCACCAGCAGTGCAAAAGCTTGCATATACCTTTGGCTGGAGACAAAATTCTGTTGTTTAGGAAGAATATTCCCCATCCTCATGTGCTTCTCCATCCACTACCATTTAAAAGTACTATAAAAATCAATGACAAACCTGTAGAAAGTTACTGGCTTTCTTATCTCCACAAGAATGTTGATTGTGCTCTTAGTTTTCAGCCTTCGTTGCAGCTTCGTTGCTGTAGTTTATTCTACTAATCTTCCTTGGGATCCCAATTTAACACAAGGTGGACATCTAATAATGGCAAAGGTAATGCATTTAAAAGAGAAACATTGAGTATGGTGTAGTTTTTAATATTGGTCCCTTGTGGTTTATGTACAGTATTGTTTACACTCTAGAAAGTTGAATTGCAGCTAATTTCAAGTTTTTATGATCTAAATGTTAGATTTCTGTTAAAATGCAAAATAAAAGGGTTTTCCAATCTGTTACATATTAATGCAGTATACTGACAACCTAAGCATTAGCCTTGTCATTTTGATCTTCTGCAGATTTTTCAAGGCCAGGTTAGATGGAGCATTGAGACCCTTGGTCTGGTGAGAGGCATCCCTGCCTGAACATCTGCCTTTTGAGCCAGCCCACCCCAGTTGTTCACACCAACCCTTGTCATGGCCTTGCTCAAACATCCCCATCCTGTTATCATTCCCCTGAGTGACCTTGGCAGTCTCTGTGGGAAAGGGGAAGAGAGGAAGCCACTTGCATTCCCTGCTGTCATTTGTGGACTTGTTTTGGCTTTTGGAAATGATAGATTTCTGTCAAGTTGGCCACACTTTGGGCACCTCTTTGTATTGTCTTTTCCTCTCAGATGGAGTCCAGAATTTCCTGGGTATTTTTCTGCTTTTGTGGTATTTAGATACTATGAGTATCTAAATTTCTTCTACTTTACCTTTCTTCCAGAAAACTGTCTACAAGACATATTTGAACAAGTTAACTGTACCTCTAGCTATTTCCTGCAGCTCCCTGTTCCCTAAGGAAACATGTTGTATGTGATCTCATACACAGTTTCTGGTATGAGAAACTGGTTTCCTGCAGAGGAATATGCTATTTTAGATATGCCAAACACCTCTGTCAAGAGGTAAATTAATATTCATCCAAAGAATATAATTTTTCAACCATTTTTTGAGAGAGAATTTGAGGGGAAGCAAGAGACATGATGACCACTTGACTTTAAAAGAAAGGCAGGGACCCTCACACTTCCTGTGAACTGATCAGTCAGAACACAGAGCTTCAAACTGGCTACAGTCTGCCTTGTCTGGCTTGTGTGTAGGTCTCCAGAAGTGATCAACTACCATCACTGGCATGAAGCAAGAAAATTTATTGTAGTCACAGCCTACTACTTTAAGGAAAGATAAAGAATTAAGACACAATTTTGTCTTGCTGGGTTTTTTAAAAAAAAACTTGAGAAAGTCAACAAGAGTATTGCATCTCTTCATGTTGAGGCAATTTTCATACCGGAAAAGACTACCAAATATAATGAAAAATAATTTCCCTTTTTTTTTTCCTTACAGGCCTGTCTACTGTAGAATTGTAATCCCTTGCTGTTTATAAAAGATTTCCTTTTGATAACTTTTTCAGACCTCATCTACAAAGCCTAGATTTAGCAAATCTCTGAGAAAGATTGTTCCCTGGGCACAGGACAGTTGTATTTGCAGAAGCTTGGCATAGCTAAATAAAGTAGTCTAACATTACCCAACCTGCACAGCTGTGCTCTGTTTCTTCATATTTGTGACTTTCACCAGCTGATAAAAAGTCTGAAAGTGGGATTTCACAGTTATTTTCCCATCCTCCTGAGCATGACTGGCTTGGATCTCTTTCTAATGTTATATAGCTGAATTTGATATATATATAATAGGGAAAGATTTCTTGTAGCAGATAAATTTACCTGGAAGGTGACGGTATGCCGAAGGCAACATATTTTGAAGAACTTCTATTCATGGTCAGCATCAATGTCTAAAATATATGATTTAACTTACCAGACCAGATTGAAAAGGAGCTGTAAGTGGAGCTCATAATTCAGAGCTGTTACACTGAATCCTTTAATTATATACTGAATTTTTCACCTAAAACTTATATGTCTTTGGAGATTGATGATCTGATAAAAAGCATTTATCTTCAGGATAATGTATTTAAATATATTACAGAAAGTTGGAAATTTTGATCTATGAAACAGTTTGGTAATCTTCCACTTTCCAAATGGTTAAGGGGACTACAGTGGCAGAGCAGTGACCCCTTGTGTTCCTCTGACTGATGTAATGCTCACAGATTTTTAAAACTCACAGAAATTATTGTAAAAGTAATAGTGCTGTGCAGCATTGAGATCCTGCCTATTACACATCCCTGAAGAGCACTGAGATGGGCAAAGGCACCTTTATGTGCTGTACTGACTTTTGTAGTGTGTTGTGTCAAAACCACCACTATCCATCTTGTCTTTGGGCTGATGAAACCCTTGAATGCCATCTTCTGACCATGGTTAGGAATATCCTTGTTTATTAGACTTATGTTTTTTACATAAGTTTGAAAGTAAGTGTATCTTATTACTACTAGAAGAGATAGCTTTGAACAAAATCACTTTCTGTTTGCTTGCTTGTAGGTACATTTTTTTTTGAACTGTCCTGAGTTGAAATGTAACAAGACATAACAAGATACTCTGATCTCTAAAGTCACACAGACAATTAACTGAGGAAAAGAGATCTGAGAAGCCATATATATTTTTTTCCCAGAAACCAGTTCTCTTTGTGCCCATTACTCAAGCATATTTCGACTGGACCCAAGGAATATTTCCCTTAATATAACATGTCTCTCTGATCACTGCAGCTTAATGGTAAGTAATTGCTCTGATAGATGTACCCAAGCTAGGGCTGCAAATTCAGTGGCCAGGATACTCCTAACAATAATTGAAAGGTCAGCACAAAAAACATTCCTACTAATAAGTTTACTTTAAGATCATCTTCAGGTCCATAAAATGGCATCCTTAGTACAGTTAATTATGAAGAAAAAAAAAAAGTAAAAATAATCTTTCCAGCCTCAGGCAGAAAAAAAGTATAATACAGTAGAGTTTCAAACAGGAGCATAATATCCCACCCACACATCAGCTTTTTGGAAAAGTAGCAGGCTTTTGAAGAAGGTTGGAGATAACTAATGTTGCCAGACTGGTTTTTTGCTTCAGAAGAAGCAATATTCTAGTGTGTGGATTCAAGAGTTATTTATATAAGAAATGCAATTAAACATATTTTCTCAGTTTATGATCCTTTGAAGCCACAGAGTAGCAGTTGGATGTCTGCTTGATTTGTCCTCCTCCCTGCTGAAGTGTGAAGAAGTGTGAGGAGGGTTTCTTTTCACAGCAGTCTTGCACACCAAGGCTGAATTTCAGAAGCTGAACTCTGTTTCCTTCCTGATTCAGTTGTCTTTCTACTAATCAGTCTTCAGCACTACCTCCTTCTGATTTTTTGTTTACTTCTATGTGGTAGATTAAGTTGGAAAATAATTCCTGAATTGTCTTGCTATACTAAGTTGAATCCTAATACAAGCTTGTTGTTATAGCAGCCTTAATTATTTTAAAAAAATATTTTTTTTAAAATAAAGCAGATGGACAAATGAGATGCCTGTGTGTGCCCTGTGTAACAGCTAATCACTGATGCCTTCTGCAGCAGTGCATACAAAGGCTTCTTACCATTCTTCCCGAAGTATTCAGAGAGTCTAGATTCAAAGAACAGTGGCAAAAAAGGAATCAACATTTTTCTGTCCTTGAAGAGTAGTTGATGGTGATAAATTAATGCCTGAGGAAACAGGTGCTATGCATTATAAATCACATCACAATAAATAATCAAAAGCACTTATTTGGATGTGGGGATAGAATATATATGCAGTATTATGCATCTAGAACTAGATATAGCCTGAGACAGTCCATTCTTGCCCTGTTTTTATTAATATATTTAGTGAAATGTGCACTAGGAAGCCTCTCCCATATATAATGAGGGCATAGGCTCAATTTTTCTTTTTATTATCAAGACAAGTATAGAGCTTGCTTGCAGAATAGTGACTCTGAATACAGGAATCATTGAGGTACCTATGGGTAATGATTTTCACCTGCAACAGTAGGAATTTTTCTCTTAATTACACCTTCCCTAATGGAAAGAAGGGCTGCTGAACTGTCTGAAGCTTAGAATTTGACAGGGAGAAATGGAACTGGTGTGCCCTTTCAGCTTATAATCCAACCCATACTTCTGGGCATTTATGCATATTATTCTTTGTTCATAAATAATGTGAATATTATTAATTATCCCAAATTATAGTATACAAAATAATTCATCTGTTGTTGCTTTATACTGCAAAGCTGGCACCTACCCTTTTCAGCCCAGCTTACCCCTCTTCTTTTTATTTATGTCATCAGTCTGGGACCATCAGGCACTGAACACTATGTGGAGGACAGTCCCTGATTGCAACCTGAAATCAGAGGAAGTCTGCAAAGCCCAGTTTCTCTGAGGAAAAAACTGGTTTTTTCCTTAGACAACATTGGTCAGACTAGGAAGCTGGGATTAGGTGAGGAAATTGGTACAAGCTGGTAAGTAGTTCAGTCTGGGGGAAATCCAACTTGGTGCTCTGTTTGTTTTTTATTTACAGAAGCTTGCAGTTCTTCTGGTGGTCCCACCTGGAGTCCAAGACTGCATGAACACAATTATGCTGTCATGAAATGAAAGCATCCAGTTAAGATTTCTGGTAATGTTGTGAAGTAGTGCTAATTTAGAAATGCAGAATGAAGACATGCTAATGAGGGTACTGTTACTGTGACATTACTCACCAGTCTCAGAGTCTGCAGAGTTCTCAGGACACAGATAAAAACTTACAGATTCTCTGAGGAATGGCAAGGGGCTTGGCATTTTCACATTACCTTCAAGGTGAAATGCTGAATACAAATTCTCTTGACAAAATGGTTTCTGCTTCCCAAGTGATGCAGAGAAGCAGTATCCTACAGGAGTGCAAAGATTGCTCCATGTGTATTACCAGGACACTCCCATACCACAGGAATGTGCCTGCCAGCCCTTGGCTAACCTATTTAATTACAGATTTATAAGGCAATGTGCTATTTAATCAAAGAAATGGCAACACAACTGTGTTTGACCTCTTTTTTTATTAGTATATTTTATGTTCATATTTTACAATATAATAAGTTATATATACAGCATTAAACAAAGTTATTAGAAAGTAAGCTTTGGCAAGACCTACAGGATTCCTTTTTCAATCCTGTACATCTCTTGTATAACAATAAAAATACTGTATACTAAATAAAATAATGTTAAATAGTCTGTGTTTGCATTGGCACCATCAGTTTCAAAACCCTAACTTTTCATGGCCCAATAAACATAGTAAGAAGAAGATTCCTCTATCTTCTTTGTCTTCCTTTTAACAAATATGTGATGTGTTGTTGTAAATGGTGTATAAAACATAGGAGGCAGTCCACTGAATAACACTGTAGTTACACACTGGCACAAGAAAAATCGAATTTTGATGCTTAGTTTTTTTCCCTCCCTTCCTTCCTTCCTTTCTTTCTTTCACTTTTGTTTCTTTTTTATTCTAGTAGCAATAGTAAAACCTGCAAATTCACGGTCTTGAGAATCATGTTGAAGATTGCTGAGCTGTAAACATATCTAGAAATCTTATTGAAGCCTGTTGAAATCGGCATGAATTTGTCATTGATTTCAAGACAAGAATTCCACACCTAAATTCAACATCAATCAGCTAGATAAATTTCAAATAAATGCAGCTTGCTGCATCATTGAAAGAAGAGTTAAAATCTTATCAAGTATGGCATATGCAGATTAATGAAGAGTGTGTTATGATATCAAAGAAAGGGTGGAAAAAGAATAACGAGAGGGATAGGTTTTATGTTGCAGTATTTACTTCCCTGATATACAAATCAAGTGCTGAAACAATACTAAATATAGATGTTAAAGGGTGATGATAAATGTTTTGCACAATTACGATACTATCATAAATAAGATCTAGTTACTAAGTGATGGAATACTGGTTGTTAAATTCTGGGTAATAGTAAATATTTTTAATAGCATTTTGTTCAGTCATGCATTTTGGAATGTAAGAAGTAATTTTTGTAATTGACACATCTCTTAATTTAGTGGTTGCAGTTGGTGAGATCCATCGTCACTATTTTGGCTATAAATTAGGCAAATAGGTTTGGTAAGAGACACTGACCTGTGGTCTGAATGAATTTTAGATAAATTTTAACTGTGAAAATCAGACATTAGTTAAAAGAAAACCAAATTAGGTCAATTTTTGTACTTCACAAACTCACAGTAATGCATTACCTTCCAGATGAGTTTAATGTCACTGGTGGATTCTGTGCTCATGGTATAGGCTTACAAGAGTGTAGCATTAAAAACACTTTTTCCTCCACATCTCAAGGGTCTCGAAAGAAATCTACTCTTTTTGCTCTTGGTGTCACATGTGCACCACTGTTGTCTGGAATTCCTCTGGCTTAAATATAATTTGGCATATAGATGTCATTATTGGAAAAGTATATTTTTAATGGTAGTGGACAATCTGGTTTTGATTTTCCTTTTTTCTTAACAGTAAAGAAAAGAAGATTTTGCTCTCCACTTGCAAGGAGTAACTGCCCACTTTTACTGCCCACTTGCTAACCAGCTTGTCCTCAGCAAGTCAGCAGTTTGAATTTATAATTTCTGAAATGTCAGAATGGACCAAGAGTGCATTTATGTGCATTATGTAGATTGTTTTGAAGCACTTCAATCTGTAAGTTATGGCGACTCTTTTTCCATGTAGCATAGTTAGTCAATCTGAGGACTGGCATATACACCTATGCACATAATGCACATAATTCTAGATTCAACAAACCCATAATAAATGTAGAAAATGAAAATGATTGGAGCGAGTAGAAATGTATGTGCCTAATGTGTATTAATTGATACTGTAGCTGTGGTACTGCTTCTGACTGTAACTGTTAAACCATTGAACCATTGAATGAAGCCCTAAGAGCCCTAATAGTTCTCTTTTCAGAGAACTATTCAATGCCTTTCCTGAAGGGTTATTTGCCCTCCTACTCATACACAGACTGAAAAATGGATGTTTGTGTCTCTGCTTATTATCAGTAACTTTTTAACATGATCATTTTGTTTAATGACATGTTTCATGCCAAGCTTCTTGGGAAATTTCTGCTCTCGATTTGGTAGATGTGTTACTTCACTTTTAGAAGTCAAAGAGAAGAGCTTCCCATTGGCTATGGTGAGCAATTCTGCAGGAGAAGCATCAATGGTCTTTAGTCCAAAGTCTTTGATGCAGTGCTTACTGGAATCCCACTTCTGATGTGGAGGTGCAGGCCCCAGGCAGGCGTGTCAGGATGTCCCTGCGGGTTCAGGAGCCGGCATTGCTTGTGCCCACTCCAGAATGTCTGCACACAAGGATTCCACAGCATCCAGTCGCTCGATTTGCACCAGTTTGGTGAGCAGTTCTGGGATGCTGTAGCCCGCCGTGCTGATGCGGTCGAAGAGCTGCATGCCGTCCGTCATGCCGCCAATCTCGTCCCGCTTCAGCCCAAAGCTCTCGGCCAGGTGACGCCACGTCTTCACTATGGCCTTCTCCGTGTTGTAGGTGGAGCTCAGCATTCGGCTGGTCTTCTCCAGGCAGTCAAATGGCAGCTCTGTAGGGCTCAGACCTGCAAAGGGAGGGGGGGATTGTCAGGTGGCTCTGGGTACAGGTCTTGACATTTATTAAAGTATACAACAGATTACACTGTTATCATTGAATACAGCTAAAATCTTTAAGTGATAGTACATGATTATGTCTAGGTCCAAAGTTACTACTGCATATTGCCAAATTAATTCTTCATAATGACAGTAGGATATCATAATTAGGGTAAAAAGTTGCCTGGAAAAGAAGTAATAGATAGGCTGTATGAATTCCCATGGCTCTGCCCTTTCCTTCAACAATTTACTAGCTGTTAGAAAAAGTATATTACAACTATGTCCCTAGTGAGCAGCCCCATTAATAAACTCTTACACGTCAGGCTCAGTGTTTGAGCTCCAGAGACAGCTTTGACCCTTCCCTGAGACTGTCACCAGCAGGTGCTGAAACATATCTGTAATTGAAAGTGGTCCTTGTAGGAAAGTGAGAAGTGAGGTGAAGCAATGATGCCAGATGCAAGCATAAACATCCCTGCAAGTGCTTAACTGTCATTACTATTGTGAATCTCTAGGGAGAATTTAGCATTCATCCTGTGGGGAAAAGGCTATTTTCTCCTGGACATATTTTCTATGTATTCCTGTTCAGAAAACAGAAGAGAGAATCAGCTACAGCATTTTTCCCAAACCAGACTTTTGCTTCTGTAGTTTTCCTGCTTCTTACCCATCAGAAATAATCTGATGGGAGACAGAGCTCCCTGAATTACAGCATACTCATAAATGTGCACACAAAGTGTGTGTGTGTGTGGAAAGTAAATGCAGTCACAGCTCCTGTTCTGCAGGGAACTTAATTTATATATCCTGCTAAAACAGTTCAGGTAGTCAAGTGCTAAACAGGGTCAAAACACTTACAGCCTGGAAACTCTACATTTTGTTGTGAGATGTGGGACAGAATTTAGAGAAGCAGAGTAGGCTGAGATTTGTGTTTTACCCTCAATCCTGACCCTCCCCAAATCACACTTTCATATTTGTAACTTTTTAAAATCTGTTATCCAAAGAAATAAGACCTCAGGTTTCCTCTAGATGGGGAATGCAAAAGTGCTTTCCTGCATCTTGGTCTGCTTGTGTGTCCCAGCACAGCCCACCCCAACTCTTCCTGCTCTCCATAGGAAGGAAGGCCATGCACATGCCTGGAGAGAAGCCGTGGCCCGCTCCAGCCCAAGGCCAGCCTGGACAGCTCTGGGGTCAGGGCTGACCACAGGGTTCCTAGCAAGTGAATACAAATCTGCCTACAGAGTGCTTTCCCTGGTTTGGGACTATTTTCCATAGATAGCCAGAGGCCTTTCTTACTTTATAGCAAATGCTCGTGATCTGATTGCATATTTTAACACAGGCGCAAATTGTTCACTCACCTTCTGCAACGTCACATACGTTAGCATACACGTCAAGTATCTTTTTCCTTCGACTTTGAATCTAAATGAGAAGAGATTTATTTCATTAATTTTTCAGTTACAAGATTAAACAATTAGCAGACAGCAGTGGAAAGTCTGTGGGACCTCTCCATTTCATAGGGTTATCACACAGCGTCCTCAAAGGTCCCTTTCTAAGACTCAAAGAAAATGACACAGCAATTATTCCATGAAGCATAAACATATTTCTGATTTCACTTTCCACTGCTAGAGATCTTTCATCTCGACTTCTAGACGTTTTTTGAGAGCCAGTACTTTTCTGCTCCAGCTCCTGAGAATGAGGATAAATCTTGTACCATAAATGCAATGAAGAATGTAGGGATGTCTAGGTAAACCAGGTCAGGACTGTAATTAAATTCAGACTGAAATTGCCTTCTTCCAATAATCTAAGAGGACTACAGAGGAGGGGCTCTTCCTTTCTGTCTCTGGATGTAGACCTGCTTAGTGCATTACTAATTAACTGAAATATTTTACAGATAGATTAAGAAAAAAAAAGTGAAGTTTTAGAGAGGAAAAATCTGAGGTCCAGGGGGGTCTAGTCATTTTTGACAAGAAAGAAACAAGACTGAAAACCTGACATTTTTCAAGCTAAAAATGGACACTTTTATATAGTTTCATTTAGCAAAATATTCTCAAGTTTTGGTTTTGGATTCGATGTGGAGTGAAAACAAATGTCAAAATGTCATGAGCTCTCAGGGACTGAAATTTTTTTCCCAGAGCCAGCTCTCATTAGAAAAGCTGAAAAGCTGTCTTTTTGACAGGACTCTAGCATTATCCTCACAAATTTGTCACATTTCACTGCGAACGAGACTTGAATAAGAGCTCTGCTTTCGGTACTTCATTTTGTGGCAAGATTTCCCTCACTTTATTTGGGCAGTGGAGGGCAAGGTGCCTCAGTGACGTGGATTAATGGAACTGCAGCCGGAGAGCGCAGAGCGGCCACTCCAGCTGGAGCGCGCCTGGCGGGCGCGGTGCGAGCGCATCGTGCCACGGGGCAAGGCAGTGCGGGCACTGAGTGTCCTTCCCTTCTTCCTCCTGCAATTTCCCTGTGCTCAGTCAGTTGTGTTGCCACTGTAGGCTTGGATCACCTGCTTCAGAACCTTGACACTGGGAAATTTAATGGGGTTTATTAAAACTCCTCCTAAGAAAACTATTGGGTGCTTATTTTCATTCTCCCTCCACTTTTAAGGTAAAGAAGCAGGTTGAGTAATTCCTTGAAGAATTATGCAAGACACTCTTTTTACCAGAGCCAGAAGACTGGGGGGTTTTAAACCTTAAGCTGAAAGCAAACAGGAAATGTTTAGCCTGATGATCCTCTGTGTGGCCACACATTGCAAATGGGTTTTTGTATAACTAGGAAAAAGACTTGGCTAATAGCAAGCCTCTAATTTTCTTTATCCCTATCTAAGTGCTCTGAGTACTCTTTCCTGTGCTAGTAACGCTACTTAATTCCCAATCTGAAGAAAATTACTGCTTTTCTAACTTCTGGCAACTGGCTTAATTGTGACATCTTAGGTATGGAGTGGAGAATCTTGATGCAATCTGCTCTTTCATTGAAAAGTTTGTCTTCAGCCTTGTCAGCAGTCTTTAGTCCATGAGGATGTGTTAGAACAAGTCTGGAAGAAGCAGTCCATGCTTTAGGTGCACTTATGAGCTATCTGTCTAAATTACTGTGGAGAAGGTATCTATGATGTAGGGTCTTTTGAAGGTAACCTGCTTATGGAATATTCTGATTTCATGACTACCCAAGGTGTATTATCCTATTTCAAGCCAGTGCTTACAGAAGTATCATAAAGTGGGATATTTAGAGAGACCTCAAAAACCCGAACTTTAAAGTGTTAGCATTGAAATAGTAAGTTATTTTCAGATGGTCATAAATATCTACAACTACAAAACCGTTTAACTTGTGTTGAGATTTTGTTTGTCTGATCTCAGCTGAAAAGTGGTGCGTTTTAGAAATTTTGAGCGAATTCTCCCAACAATTTAAAACATGCAAACATTAAAAGATGCATTTTCAAACCTATTTTTTCTTAAACCATATTTGATATTTGATATTAATGATGTGATTGGACCTAGCTATTGCCATTTTTAAATAAACTAGAAATACTAAAAGATCAGAGCAGACACCTTCTTTTTAAGGGTAGTTTGATGTTAACACGAACTGAAAGGTTGTGTGGGTGAGGTGTGGCCTTAACTGTGCCTTAAAATACTCTGAGTGAGATAAAAAGCCCTGAGCAGGACATGCTCAGCAGGAAGAAGCAAATGCCTTCCACAGCAAAACAGTGGATTACAGTGTCCTTCAGAGCACAGGAATCACCTTCAAACTATGTGTTTGTTTTTCAAAATTCCACATGGAAACCAAGCACAACACCGGATATCACTGAGAAATCTGTGCCGTGGAAATACCAATGCAGATGGGTCAAGGTACTCAGATGTTCTGCTGTCAGCCAAATCCAGCCTGCTTCATTATTTTACTGTCTTAGCATTAGCTATGACAGGGAATTGCTGTTATATGGGTCTTTTCTTTCTTGAAACGATAAAATATAATACTCAAAAAAGCAAATTAATTAGTCTTGTAGAAAAATTTATTTCTATCCCTAAACACTATACATATGCATATATGTCATTATGCAAAGGAGATTCTATAACAAATTTGTCTGGAGAAGCTCTTGTAAATCAGTCTGATCTACCCTACTATGCATTTTGGGGGGTTGATAGTTCTTTTTTTTTTTTCTTTAAAAAAAGTAGAAAAAGGCTCTCAATTTTTAAATCTCAAGGTAGACTTACCCCAGTTGATTTATTGCTTGTAGAAGATTTATCTCTGGCCAAATGGACTAAAGATAACAAGCATCTCTCTGGAGTCCCTTGCTTGTCAACTGCAGCTTCTTCATCACTATCCATACTCCGGCTTAAGAGTCGCTCATTCTCAGAAGATGCATCATTTTCACTGGAAAATGAAGGATACAGTTATCTTAGTGAAGCCTCTCATGGGTTGACTCCAGTCATCCTCTTTTTGCTTCTTGAGAGTAATGAAAATAAAAGTGTTTTCCATGTTTAAAATGACTTTCCTCTGAAATCCTGTGACTGTAATGGCCTTCACCAGCCTAGTGTGTATATGCAATGCCCACCAAGCCACAGAGTCACAGTAGCTTCCAAGAATCCTTTCACAGAGGGATTTTCCAATGAGGACAGTGTTTAGCCTGCCTTAATAATGTTACCAGGCAGGTTTGGCTGCTGGGCAGAGACAAGATGATGAAAACTGCCACAGCATGCCAAGCAAATGATGCTAGGGACAAGGTTCCCTTAAGGCCTGAAGCAGCTATTTTTACTCTTCCTGCCTAGAAGGGAAGGGGAACCTCAGTAAGGCCATGTGAGTGAGAGCTGCACTCAGGTCCCAGAAATTACCCTCTCAAAAGAGGAGATGGAGGCCAAAGAGCAGATGAATTGGTCACAGAGGGAATGGGGAGGACACAGGTGTCTCTTCACAATGTCTGTTATCATCTCTTAGAAAACAGAGGGGGAAAAGCCCACTAAGGCATCTGATCTTTGCCCTGCTACAGTAACTTGCCAGCATACCCATCAAATTTGTTTATGTGTTCCACTGTAGCAGGATGAATGATGACTATATGCCTCCCCCATTTCAGTGAAACTGGCAGTATATTTATCTTTTACCCACCTTTTGACAGCCTTAGCTGGAGTTGCTGTAAGTTTTTCAAACTCTTCTTTCTCAGAGAATATCACAACATTATCTGTAGAACAACAATTAGAGAAGTTTAAATTGGCAATAAGTTTCCAAACCACTGCTTTGTGTCAGGAGTTAGTTCTGCTGGCAACCCTACTGACAAAATAAATTTCTCTGCTATATTTAATTGCTATCAGAGGATTAAGTGACATTCTGGAAGCACAAAAAACTAGTATAGGCAATTCTTCAGTAAACTGAGGGTTTTATATACTCCAAAGGAGAAACTGTAATTAAGAGAAAAATATTAAGAATATTTAAGCCCAGTGTTGTCTTGGATAGAAAAAGCAAAACAAAAACAACTTGTACCTTGCACTTCTTTCTTCTCTTCTTGAGTGTTAGCCTGAGCTTCGACGTTTTTTACTGAGTGGCTCTTGCAACACGCTAGAATATACAAATATAACATTAATTATTCTCAGAATAAATCTAGAATAGAATTTAGAATATTCTAATAGAATAGAATTTTCTAAATTCTAAAATAGTATTTGCAACTAAAATTTTACCTGCTGAACAGAACAATTACCTTGAGCAGATGGCTTTGTTTTTACAATGTAAAACATGATGATGAGGACAATGGCAATAGCCATTATGAAGATAGTAGACATAGCTATTATAAGAGCTGTAGCCAGATGTCCTTGTCCTGAAAGATCTGCTGGAATGAAAAAAATAAATGAAGGGGCAATCTTAGGATCAGACTAGTTAACAGTTTGCAGTCTGCTCTACACACAGTTTGCATAATCCTTTAGTGGATCTGAGTCTTGGTTGCTTGTTAAGCATTGAAAAACTTAGTGTTGTGTCTCAAAGGCAAGTTAAAATTTCTCAAAATTTTGATATTTATGCCTAAACCAGTTAGTAGTATTCATTAAGAATATTTGATGGTATGATTTATCAGATACAAAGATGTAGGAAATAGTATTTTAATATGTGAAGCTGTACATAAGCGAGAGCAGAAGCTTTTGTAGCACTGCATTCTTGGAATCAGCGTTGACAAGACAAAAGCCAGTAAATATACAAGGAGAGAAAGAGCTAAAATGACTGTTGATAACTGTGGCTGCCTCAAAAGCTCTAAGTTAAAAGGAGGACACAATGCACATGTAGAAAAATTGATGTTTTTCTAACAGAAACTTAAAAACCAGCATAGCCAAAAGGTGAATTTAAAATAAGCTTGGTGAAAAGATATTCAAAAAGAAAACTTGGATGCTAAAGGCTAGAATTGAAAAGGTGTGAAAGGATGCAGAAAATTATAGATATGCTAAAAGGCATAAAAGCTTTAATTTCTCTGAAAATGTGATCCTAACAGTCATGTTTTCAGACAATACCAAGAAGACCAACATTGTCAGTGCCTTATTAACTGCATCTTTTCCATTTTGTCTTCTCAGGTTCAAAAATTTTAAAAGCCAAATGATCATGCTGGAGAACTGTTTATGTTACTTCAATAAGAGACTGACCATATTTGTGCATGAAGTTATTTTCACCGTTCTAAGCTAAGCTTTGCTGAGGCAGAGTGCTATTTCTGTAAAGCTACAAATAATGAGCTAAATTTATTGCTGGCATCACTGGGTACAGCTCAAATCCTTTTTATGTTCAGCTGACAAACAGCAGTGTTGATTAACCGAGAAAAAAAAATGAATTCTGAATTATTTCTAATAGCAGTTCTAGCAATCTGGAAATAATGACAATGAAAATAGCAACAGATATTTTCAGTTTGGATGCACTTTGTTGATGCCCTTTTGAAAACAAAAAACTGCTAAATTAACCCTCACAAAAAGTGCATTCTTACCTTTGTGAGCATGCTGGTAAGGTGAGAAAGTGCTTGTGCCAGAGGTGCTTGGGAAAATGGCTGAAATGCCAGAGTTAGAGCCTGCACCTGCAATATAAACAAAAATGCCATAAAATTCCCTTGTTACTTTGTCCAGTCAAAGGAATAGGTTGGCTCAAGGAAAGAGAGCCTTTACTTGGCTTGGTTGCATTCCCATTTATTAGCAACGGACCCAAGAACTACTTGCTCTTTGAGCTCTCCCTAATCCCAAAATGTGTTACTGATGCACTGAAAGTTGGGTTGCAGACCATGTTTGTGCACACTGTCCAGAAGGAGTGAAAGTCAAACTCCTGAACAGATATGAACTCAGAAGGAAAAGCCAACTGTTACACACAGATTCCCATGTTATGGATCTGTCCTGGGCAGCAAAGAGTTTTCCAGGGTCCAGCTGATTACTCAATTTACAAACCACTCCAGTATTTGCAACTGCAGACCAAGACTTAGCTGGTAGATTCCTCAAACTAGTGCATCTCACAAGCAACCTTCACTAGCAGCATCACTGTAAAGCTGGTATGCAAACCCTCATGACTCCACAGGAAAACCTAGGGAAGGTGACAAATGATGGTGTTGATTGCTTTTCTGTTCCGTGGAGCTGTACTGTTGTAAAAGGGAATTTTAGAATTTCCTGTAATGTAACTGGGCAGTATGAGCTTCTTATGAGCTCCTGTCAGACCAAATCTATATTCTGGGGAGAGTGAATATTCACTGAAACAATAAATGAAGAAGTTATAGGAAAACTTCATCCTGTCAGTGGGATGAGATAGTCTAATAAGGGTTTCCAAGTCTAAATTCTACAGTCAAGGTTAAAGTTAGTCTTTCACTTGGTGTCATGCACCAAGTTTTCAAAGCACTAAACCAAGTAATAAAATAACATATTTTGACAATAGCAATCAATAGTGCATGTTATTTGGAATAAAGTTGTTTATGGGAATGCTTTTATATAGGAGGGTGTTTGCACAGTATTCCAAAACAGAAAAGAATTGTTCGGGTTGGGAGTAAACGTTATCTTCCTTCTCAAATGAACTTTAATGCCATTGGATAGCATGTAATGCAAGCAGCTACTATCAACAGACATGGAAAATCATTTCTGTCTTGGAGGAAGAATGAAATTCCTCCTGTTTTGTATTAGCTGTCTGTGGAAAAAGTCCAGTGATAATTCAATTCAGCAGTCATAAAGGCAAAAAGCTGTCCCAGTCATCTGGTAAGGTGTGCACAGCACATAGCTCCACAAGCTGGTTTGACAGCTAGAGTAGATGGGAGCTCACTGTGCCCTTCTTTTGACCAAGCAAATATTCAAACAAATCAAATCACCAGGTAAACTTGACAAGAAATAGTCTGTGATGGTCTGAGAAATGTTCTATGGTTAAGAACAAAGCAATATGCGCATTCTTCAAATGAAGAGAAATGGTTTTTTAAAAAGGAAAAAAAAGTACTATCTAAAATAAAACTATCTAAATAAAACATGTCTGCATGTTGTGAATGAGAAATGTTCATCTAAAGAGGCTGCAAAGTATGAGTTGCAGGTGTCTCCAAAAGAAATTTTCTCTAACGATCATAAAACTTCTTTCAAACATCTTTTGTTGGAGGGAAATGGATTAACTCAATATAATTGGTATTTTTTCAAACTGAATAAGGGTTTTCATTAGGTTTTAAATATACTAGTTTGTTAATTCAGATGCATTTTGTATTTTGCAAGTGAAGGCCAAGACTTGTTACATAAGTCTTTCCTCTGGTCCTTTCTCTGTGACAGATTTCTTTCTAAGAAGAATTAGTTATGGGCTCCAGAAACTGCAAATCAGGAAGACTATCTAGGGATCAGTAAATGAAGCTGTCATCTGCATGTAGTGGATATTAAAGACAGGTAATTTGTAAAATTTTCAGCAATTCTTCACAAAACTGAAGCGAATCATCCTTGGTCATGACCTCTGTGTTTACTCATCGTGGCTGGACAACAGAGGAAATTTAGCAAATGGCCAGAGCTGTGGCCTGATACTTTCCTTCATGTTCATGCACAGACACCAGGCTTATGTCTATTCTTGCAGCCCCCCTGGCAAATCCAATTACAGCCAATTGGAATCCTGCATGGTCCTTGCAAGCTGCAACAAGTCAACAATAGCTTCTCTGACACTGCCCCTCAGTGAGCAAGCTGTGCTGCTTTGTCTGCCTGGAGTTCAGCTAACAAGCTTCAGCTCATCTCCCCAAGTGAGTTTTAGCAAACTTGCTTCTCCTTTCTTTCACTTGAAACATGAATGAAGTATTTCTGCCTAATAATCTTTCATTGTCTTGGTATTGTTAACTTCATGTTTTTCACCCACTTGTGAAAGGAAGCAGAGCCTTTCAAAGTGGGAAGTCAGGCAGCAGCAAGTAGCACAGAAAGTGTAAGGAGGAAGGTCAGCGCTCTTCATTCAGCATCATGGTCACTCTTCACCCAGCTCCACACCAGGGCAGGGTGTGCTGCCTGCACCATGCACACACTGGACAGCACAGTCCCTCTCCTGTGCTCAGCAGGGAGAGCCTTCAGCCCCAGAGCCCATGGGCACAATGTCCTCACATGGGAACAGAGCCACCTCCTTTGTTCCCTAGTGCTGGCATGGCAAAGTCAAGGTTGGCACTGGACTGTGGTGGCCTTTCACACATGCCTGGAGGGAGTTAGCTGTTACACATATTGTAAGCCTACTGTCAAATTTAATAATTTGGCATATCCATTATGAGCCAAAGTTTTTCTTTAGATGTGGTTTAGAAGAAAGTGCCAATTAGTGCACAAGAGGAACCAAACTGCCACCTTCTGTTGAATTTCAGTTTATATTCCTTTTGTATGAGTAAAAGAAAGTCGTAGCTGCTGCTTTTTCCCTGTCAGCACCACGCCATGACTGCAATGTCAGTTGTTCCTGTGCACATCCAGTTTTGCATCCCAATCACATTATTAATTCTGTTTCCAATATAGATGACACATAATCTATAAAGACTTAGATATAGCTCAGGCAGAGGCATCCTGAGGTGTTACAGAACACCATATGGAAGCAACTCTATTTTTTAAATAAGGACTGATGGCTGTAATATAGCCATGCAAAAGAGTGGTTTATATTCCTAGACACCTGTATGTAATACTGTAGGAATGTGATAAAGAAATTAGGAAAGAAGTTGATCACTGGTGGTTGGTCAACTTTTGCATTATAGATGTTTTCATGTACAAAAAATGTGATTTAGTTGTAACTTTCTTGGAGTCTAAACAATTAAAAAATTCTCCATACTTATTGTTTAAAAGAACAATTGAATCTGTATTCACTTTTGAATGTTTGGGGATTTTAACTCAAAAGATAGCTTTAACTTAAATTACCATGCAGCTGCCTTTTGTTCTTTCAGGAAATGCTGGGCAATAAAATACTTTGTTGTTGTTCTTTCAATGAATCTTTCTGCTTTATGCATCAGACTATTCCAGTTGTTCTTGTACCTTGAGACAGAACTTACAGTAAGAAGTAACAAACAAAACTACCAGATTTATGAGAGGAGGAGGGGGAGGGCACAGGGAAAGGAGGTTTTACCACCATGCCCCCTTGCAAGTGTTTGTGAGTGAATAAAATCTGGTGCAGTAGGAGACCATGTGTGCCCCTGACATCTGTTGCTGTGGGTATCAGCTTACTGGTCCATTCAAAGGACTGCTGCTCACAACCAGCAACAGATTTTTGTGAGTCTATTTAATATTTAATAACATGTTATAAAAATCCCCAAAGTCTGTACACAACAGACTGTCAGAGTGATAATAAAATAAGACACATTTTAAAACCCTGGTGTCTATATGTGTATCTATTTGGTGCTCTTGAGTGCAGCTTGCTTTCTCCTGATGCATCCCTCCTCTCCCAGGCACAGTCCAGCTGTGAATGGCACAGATGGGCTGTGAGTGCCATCACTGAGACTTATGGGCTGAAGTAGGATAAAGCACACATGCAAATAAGTAGCTATCAGCCTGAAATATGAGATGAAAAATAAATTATACTGAGTTGAAATGCAATAAAAATAGACAGTTTATGGCTGACAAAGTTAAAACTGGATTTTAACTAAACATAGTCATAAATAAAGACCTAGATATGTAGAAAGCAGGGGTCAGAACTTTTAAGTAATCTGAACTCAGGTACTTATGGGAAAGGTTTGCTTTCAAACTTAGGAAAACAACATTTCAAATGGAATGCCTGTGCACTTGGAAAGTCATGCAAGCTAAAGCAGCTGGCAAAGCCAACCTGCTTTCTGAGGTGCCTACACATGACTTCAGAAAGCAAACATAAACCAACTCTGAAAATATCACAAATAATAACAGATAACAGAACATATCCTAGGCACTGGAGGATTGCCTAAGTGATCTTGATTTTACAGAAGACTATCAGTTACTCTCATATATTCTGGAGTCACAGGTAGATACTTCAGTTAGGTAGGTAGCTATTACACCAGGAAGAGCATGAAATAAATTAATTCCTGAGAATTAAACTTCTGAAAATGATGATAGGAAAGTTCCCCCTGACTTTTGTTTTCAGTCTGGTCAATCTCTCTGTTAGTAATCACATCACATAAAAGGAAATATTTTTTTTCTGCTCTGCTTTCTATGATGTCTATAACTATTTTATTTCTCTCTCCTTTTGCCAGGGCAGGAAAGTGATGATGATTATAGGCCACATGGCCTTAATCTGACCATTTATTTGCATATGTTGAAGTTTGTTTTCAGGACTCACTGAGAACTGTAATCATGCACAGCACTGAAAAGTCACAGACAAACATTCCATGAACTCCATGAACTAAGCCTCTGTCCAGGAATTCAGTGTTATCACCCCTTTCTCTGTGCAACATGAAGGGAATAATTGCTATTGAAGCTTTGCTGTCATGATTTTAGAGCATCATAAGGAAGAGAACAGCCCTGCCTGGAGCTGGTCTCCCATTTCCCCGGTGTCTTGGTGGCCAGCCCATTGGAATGGGTGGTCCAAGGCTGCAGCTCTGCAGGTTTTTCAGCTCCTGAGCCCAGCCAGAGCAATCCTGCAGAGACCTGCAGTGCCTCCCATGGCCAGGTGATGCTCACTGTGGGAGCTGCAGCTCCAGCACCAGTGAAAACATCAAAGCCCTTGGAGTGCTTTTATTGGGAAGAATTGCACCAGGACCACAAAACCTCCTGAGGGATACCTGAGCTCAGCTTTCCCAGCAGCTGAGGACAGCAAAGCCCACATTTTCTCTTCAGATCTCTCCCCTTGGAGGCTGAAGCTGACCAATTTTATCCTAAGATTAGGTTCCTTCCTAACATGGAGAAATCCTTAGAGAAGAAGAATCAGGCCATACCACCAGTGAACAATAAAGCATGGCCTTCAACATTTCTCCCAGTACACATGTGAATAGCAAATGGATGTTCAGAGATCAAGAAACTCAGAAAAAGAAAAAAAAGTATGTTAGTTCCAGATAACAAGCCTATTTGCTTGTAGGCATAATTTGAAACAGAAGAAAAAAAGGTCCTGATGTTGATTGTATTACAAAAGGATAAAACTGGCAAGGAATGGAAATTAGTGATTCAAAGAATGGAAAGTTAAAATAAAATTCTCTGAAATAATTATTTTAACTAATAAAGTGGTTTTGGCAATAGGCTTGTTTGTGTTAAGCCTTTCAGTTAAGGAAGCTGAGTTCAGAGTCTTCAGTCCATGGGTTTGGATGTGCCCCCCTGATTACAGCTCTTCACATGAAACATCAATTGTTAGTCAATTGTTCCATCTCATCTGTTTAGTTATTTTTGAAGTTCTAATGATACAGTGATAAAAATAATATTTTCTATTTCTAGATGTCATTTGCTCTCTGGTATTTAAAAAATAGCCTGACCATATATATTTTCCTTCATCAATATGTTTCTTCTTTTTTAATTTTCCCAAGCTATCATTGGTAGGTGTGAGACCTAAAAACTTACACAGGCTGTTTATTGTATCTTTTAATATATAAATCCAGCAAAAAAGGTGAGATAAATAGCATGCAATATTTTATGCACATACACACTTATGAATATATACAGTAGATTAAAAACAAAACCCTCAATCAGTTGCTGAAGTTCTCTAGACCAATAATCTGTGAGTGGAAAAGGATTTGTGTATTTGATGCAATTGTGTAAATTCAACTTCAAAGTTTGCTCCTAAAGTTAGTGTAGCAGGGTTTGATTTAGTTTTTCTCCAACATTTTTGAATTGGAGTGACAAATATCAAAGTTTGAAGAGAAAGAGAGTTAATACACATAATTGAGAGTTTCAGCTGCTAAAAGACAAAATCTCTTCCAGCAGTAACTGTACCTCTCTGCCAGAGAAATTCCATATATGGCTAAATCTTTTGTATCTTGCATATACTTTTACACTGGATAAAAGAAAAAGAAAACAAAAAAAAAACACCCTACATAGTCAGAGGCCTGAAGTGACTCCAGTTCCAGAGGTGTTGATGGAAAATCCAGCACCATTAACTGTGGGAAGCCACATCTTAGTGTGGTTTGGTGTTCATTACCTTAATGGTTTGATTTACATGGAAAACCTGCCTCCCTCTCTTTTGCAGTGCTGTTATTTATCACAGAGGCATCAGATCCCCATTTATGCCAGCAAGGGGCATTGATGGCTCATGCTCTGCCTCAAGCACAGCTGAAGCTCTCACACCTTTGGCATTTCACACTGTGCTCCTCTGTGCTCAGCTCCTGCACAGAAGCTTGAGGGAGCCACATGTTGAGAGGCCAGAAATCTGACACAGCTGTTTCACAGTGCACAAGATGGGGCAAACTGGAGACTTTATGGTGATGCTCCCCTTCTTCACAGTAAGAAACAGCTTTCTGCTACACAGCACACATAGTTATGCTCATGTGTGCACTGCCCTTTTCCCCATGTGCCTGCTGCCCACAGGCTGGCACTGAAGCCTGTTATTCCTCCCAGGCTGCAGAACTGTTGCTCCCATCCTTCAGAGCAGTGAGATTTCCAACACCATAAACAAGTGACATGTTTGCCTCAGTTAAACCTCTGGCCTCTGTGAGTCATCTCCCTTCCTCCCCCTCTTTTCCATGACATTTTGTGCTATTTATGTTTCAAGTCCTTTGAGAGGGAAAAAAAACCCCAACAAGGTGACACAGGCCCATCAAGGAATTTCCTTTTCACTTCCAGCCCTTCTTACACTAATATTTCCAGATGCTGGGGCATGGGGTGTTCATCTGTGTCCTTGGCCATTTCAAGTTTTATTGACTGCACATGACCTAAAAGATATTTGCTTATCCTTTGATCAAACCCAAAGACTTTTCTGCCAGATGAAATGTGTCATCAGACAAATTCCCTGAGCAAGTTTCCATGCAGGGGCACATACCCCTGGACTTGGCCATCTGTAACACACAGTCCAGGCACTTCCCCAGCAAGGAATGTTTACAGCTAAGGAGAGCCCCACTGCTCTCCCATCCTGTCTCATTGAGTTGTCTCACTTTCACCCTTCTGGTTGTCTTCCCTGTGTGGGTGGGAGTAAGTGACTGGTTGGCTGGGGCTGGACTGTCAGCTGGGGTTAAACCACGACCTTCCTACCCTTGTGCTCTCACTTACCTCTGCACCTCCTTCCCGTATTTGGGTCCTCTCTAGCACCCTTATCTCTCCTCCTAAACAGATGTTATCTCACCAAAACCACAGGCACCCTGCCCTTCACCCACTCCCACTGTCTTGGGCAGAAGGGCAATCTCAGGGCTGGGTGGGTTCCTGCAGCCAAGTGGGATGAGCAGCTGTACAGCAGAGCAGTACTGGGCATGCAGACAGCTCTGGGAGATGCCTCCAGGACTGCTGCTGCTCACCAGGAGCCCTGTGAAGTGCTGATCATCCCCTGGCTCCTTGAGCTCTTAAACTGTAGGAAGTGGTAGATGTTCCTGTCCTCTCCTCCTTTAAAGTGACTCCCAGAGCACCAGTGATACACAGTTCTGCAGCATCTGAACAAAGCAATCGCTATTTATGTACATAAATAAATGCTCTGACACTTTCAGCCCCTGCTTTCAAATCAAGCACACAAAATATTGCAACTGCTTTTCACGACAAAGATTTCTAAAAGAAGAGAACATGGACAGGATTTTGGTTTTAGAGGCATCAGGTTTTGCTGGGGAACTACTCACTTGTTTCTGTTTGTTTGGGGTTTTGTTGTTGTTGTTTAGTTTTAAAGCTTTTTTTCCTGATCTTCTCCAGATTCTCTGAGGGGGTATCAAAGTAATTTGGTCATTCAGAGAGAGCCTCATTTTTTTCCTTTTCTTTTTTTTTCCTTTTCACTTTCTTTTTCTCTTTTTTGCCGCCTAAAGGAGACAGCAGTTTTCTGGGGGGTTGCCTCTGCAGGACAGAGGGGGTGGTGTGAGCTGTCCCTCTCCTCATGGCATGAGGATGGATAAGCCATTGCTCATACATGGTATGAAAACGAACAGGTGTCACGCACACATTTAGACATGATTTCCTCAATTAGCAAACTACAGACCCCTTTGTCAGTGAAATCTACAGAACTAATTCTCTTATCAGTGCTGACCACCAGACATCAGTGTTAACCCTTGAATCACTTTGCAGCAAAAGGATATGAAAAGGTGTGATGCCCTTTCACTCCTACAAATTGCAAATCAACTAATTGTCCCATGTTTTCTTCACAGGTGAACTGAAACTCAGTTAAAAAATTGCATAGACATGGGATTTTCTGGACCTACTGTTTAAGTAACCCTAATAAGTCCTGCATGGGATCTCTTAACAGATGAAAACTGGAGAACAATGAGCAAGAGTAGATCCTAAAATAAAAGATTCTGATTATTCCTCAAATGATAAGTACTCCCTCCCTGTGTTGGCAAGGCTAGTTGGAAGAAGAAATTGCTTAAGTGGAGCTGGGTTTATTGTTTGAACATAATTATCATCACTGAAAGATTTCACATTGAGCTTCCAGATGATTTTAAGTCAAAACCAGATGAAGTGCACAGAAAGAGCAGAACACTTACATTCCTTGGTGTTGGGAGGTGCCAGCAAGCACGAGTAGCAAACCATTCCGTAGATGTTCCGAGGTCTGTTTTCCAGCATGTAGTAACTGCAGAGAAGGGCAAGAAGAGGCAAAACAGTGCAAATTAATATGATATGACTGAACATGGTTCAGCAGCAACCAATTATATGGAGATAAAATCATTTAAAAAAACTTTTCTAAGCAATCTGAAGCAAAGATTTTTTTTTTTCCGAATTGCCTGAATAGACACTGTGTTTCTCTTCTTCCTTTCCTCCTAAAATGTAATTAATCAAACATCTAGACATGACAAGAAGTGGTAACATTGCCTAAAACAACATTTATCTCCCTGCTGAGTTCAAGCTGCAGTTTAGAGCATGCCCTGAAATAAGATTTTTCAAAGAGAATTCAGTTTTTTGAAGCAGTAATCTTTCAAGCAAGACCACCAGTTGGATATGGTTAGCTAATTTTACTCACAAACACCATAAGAATAATCTCTGTAATCTTAGAACCAAATCTGAGCCAGATCATAATAAAAAATATAGGAAAAAAATACCCTCACAGGGCAGGGCAGATTAGATTTTACAGGTTTGGTTTATTTTTTTAAATTTTCTTGCTGTATTGTTTATAAATTAGTCCTTGACAGTGGAATTACAGTGTGAAGGAAAGGTTTTCATAATCTGAACTTCTGGGCTGCTAATAAAGTTGGTGTTGAAATATGGTAATTGGCTACTCAAGAGCTGGATCCACATGCACCCTAATGAGTAATTACATCAGAATCATACAGATGTTGATGTAACATCATAGTGTTGATGTTGCAGATATGTCTTTACAAATCATTTGTAAATCACTACATATTTTAATGAAGAGATGAATAAATTCTTAATCTATTCTGCGTAGACAGGAACTCAACACTACAAACATTTTATGCAACTGGGGATCTGTTTTCTGCTCTTATATACCTGCCTATGCATGTGAAGTATGGGGTTTTTCCTGGAAAATGTATGCATTGTTAGGAATCATTGCTGAAACCTTCCAACAAAATCAGTTGTTGTAATAATGAATTACAAATAAGAGATATAGGTCCAGGGAATGGAATACACAGAGATGCAAAGGGGAGACAGGGACTGGAGCAAACCCAGAGAGCAAGGGAACTACACATGGTTCCTCATTTCTTTCTTACTGGTTTTAAAAGGTTCACCCTCACTTCATCCTTCAAATATCTCTTGTGTCCCATGGGCCACTCTACCATTCTCTCAGGAGCAAAACTTCATCTTTCCTCTCTTATGGGGCCTATATCATTTTAGGTTGTAGAGCAGTTAATAAATACACAGGAAAAGGCTGCCAAACTACAAAACACAAGAGTGGAAGCATAAAGACACATATAAATCTATGAAGACAAATACAGGACAGTTAGGATCCACAGTCCAATAGCTGTGTTGGTTTAGGAAAGACAAACAATCCTTCTGACAATTAATTAAATCAAGCTGGTGGAAGAATTCTTGGTTTTCACCACAATGCAGAATGGTGGAGGACATGTAAAGAAAACTGAAGAGGATGCTCATGGTAGGCAACCATTCACTCACATGAGTAGGAAACTGCAGCTGCAAGCATTAGTGACTCACCCCCACAAAGTACTGGCAACAGATTTGTGTTTCTGGTTACTTTCCAAAGCACCAGATATTAAAGGTAATGTTGGAGATATGTGATAGCTTTTTATCACCAACTACAGAGAATACAGAGAAGTGACACTAAAGACAAAATGAATTTTCACAGTATTACTCTTCCACTGTGATATTTATCCTTTCTTTCCTTGGCACCTGCCAGGCTCAGGTTTGGAGGGGCTACAGGCAAAATCCAAGAATAAAGGTTAGACCGAAAACTGGACTTGTTTTCCTGCTTAACACCATACTGGGCTTATCTTGGGCTAACCTTGGTGGTGTCATTGCAGACTCAGGGACTTGGGCCCAGATTTAGGTCTGCCCTCCCACCATAACAGGGGGCCTGGGACTGGGAGAGGAGGTGGAGAGGGGTGGGTGTTCTTCTCAGCAGGGGATGGTCTGCAGAGAGACATCAAGGAGGAGTATCCTTGGTGGAGGCATCTGCTGCCTTATCCAGAGCAGCAAGAGTGGCACCTAATTTCATTAGAAATTCACTGGTTAAACCTTTTCATGCAGAAACAGAGGAGCATTCACTCCTTCTCTTAAAGCCTCTCAGAGGACTGATCCTGCATTTGCTGTAGCCATGGACAAACACATGAAATTAGGAAATGTCAGTAGCAGAGGCATTTCAGACTGCATTTAAAAAGAAAATTATCCCATTGCAATTTTATCTTGTAGGGGACTGAAGACTTACCCCAAGCTGAAAATAAGTGCTGGGACAGCATGAGGAATATGTGTTATTTGTACTTGACCTGTTCTTACTCCTTATGGCCACTGCTGAATAAAGACAGATGACCAGGCTAGAGGGACCCTTGCTGTGACCTGCCATTGCTGCTTGTAGTCAGCTGTGATCTCAGTCTCACTCCAGGAACACCTAATGGATCACCCCATTGAGGGAAACAGTCTGAGTCACACCTAATTTCCACATTCTTAACCTGTCTATTTGGCATGATGGAAGAGCTTCTGGGCAGGGAGCAGAGGACAAAGCCTGCAGAATCCCAGGAGGTTCAGTCTAGGTACCTCTGGAGTTCACTGGCCACTGGACTTTGGTTTTGAGGATCACAGCTTTGGAACTAAGCCTTAAAAATCTCCCCTGTCTTGCACACTTCCTGTGAACACGACAGTGTTATTTCTATTTTATATGAGAGGGAACGCAAATAAGCAGTGGATGACTTCCTTTCTTACACCAAAGGCCTCCTTCTTCCCTAAAATTGGTTATCAGTAATAGTGAAAAAAAAGAAAATAGAAGAAAAAAATATATAATTATCCAGCACTTATTTTAAGATAAAGTACAGAGGATGGCTCTTGTAACCACTGGGAAAGGCTGCCACTTCAGTGGTATTTTGTCTGAAAACTTTGGTGCAGAATGTGCCATATGCTCATCTTTTCCTCAGGCTTCTTTACTGAGCTGGTGAAAAATGGAAAAGGGATTAGATGTCCTTAAGTGCAAAGAGCAGCATGTGGGCTGTTACCTTGGGCAGGTTTGCAGTGTGTTAGGGAAGGAATCCTCTCAAATTGGAAACCTTGATTTTATCCCTCACATCCGCTCAGGGGCTCTCTGAGGGTTACTGCCCAGGCAAGGGAGCATCCTTGCCAATGCCACTCACCTGGTACCTGGCTGTCCCTGTGGCACAGGGGACAATAAGGACAATCAGCCACTCACCAGCTCTCTGCTCTGACACACAGGCTCTGCATTTCAGCCACCAGCACCCAGGAGCAAACTCTGAGGACTCTAAGTAGCATGAGGAGTCAGGGCAGCTTCAGAGCTGGTTTTAGCTCATATTTAGTTTATCTAGAGAATTCCATCTATTCAAGCTTGGACTGAGAAGGTGTTTCTCCCTAACTGCTGGCTTTGCCAAACAATCCCAGGACCTGAGCGTTGCAGGAGGAGGGGCACACAGCCAGATTCCGGCAGACCAGTTTCTGCTACAGGCTACACCTGTGCAAACACGATGTTTTGAGATTTCTCCCCAAGCACCAGCTGTGCAAGCTGATTATTTTCAGCCAGCACCCTGCTCCCACCTGGGTAACCTCATTAGTCCTGACAAAAATTGCAAAACAGCAACTGTGACCATTATTTAAGTTTCTTGCTCTTTATGATGTATGAGGGGAAGTCAAGAGGGAGCTTTTTTCATGCCACATCATCAGTCTGTTTGGCTGGCAGCTAGACAAGTCCTTCATTTTATTTGTAAACTGTGAAAATTTCACAAAGACTTACTGATAAAATAAACCTGTAAGCTTGCAGGGCCTCTTTAACAGGGCTTCCTGTGCTATAAGGAGTGTGGGTTATCCAGCATCTGCAAACTGCACAAAAGCCAAATGTCAGTAGGAATTACTCTCTAAACCAAAGAGGAATAGTGGCAGAAACTGAAAAGGTATGTAAGGAGAGGTTGTATTTTAGAGTATTTACTCACCCTACAAAAAAACCATCAAGAGTGCATATGTGTGCTTGGGTTTGCAGACTTTGAAATGTAATATTGTCAAGGATATACATATCCAATGTAGTAATTTCTTTCTCACAATTATGAGAATTATACTGAGTGTAAGAGACCATTACAAAGATGGACTTAATAAACAGCACCTATTTTAAGCCCCTTCAGCTAGCCCTGAAACTTGTTTTGACTCTGAACAACACTACACACACTACATTAACAGCTCCTCAGACTCCACTCTGTTGTGTAGAAAGGACCCGAGAGACTAAAATGCCTTGGTAAATCTCACTGAACAGCTATGTTAGCTAATACTGTCAACTACTGACAAATGTGCCAGCTGTTCACATCTGGAGAGGAGATATTTTATGCCCCTAAACATACTGTAGTGCCAGCATAGACCCTACATGGTATTTAGGTGCTGTCATGCAGCTCATATGTAGTAAGCAGGACTTAGAAGGTGGCCCTCTGAAGCTACAGCTGGAGGCCAAGCTGGATTTCTTTGAGTGTTTAAAATGGCACTGCACAGCTGTGCTTGTTCCCTTTCCATTTCTAGCGAGAGGAAAAAGTTTTCTAGTTCCAAACAGTGAGACTTCAGTAAGATTAAAAACATCTTCTTTAGGGTCCCTTCCAGGCCTAACTATTTTATGATTCTGTGTTTATTAAACTCACCAATGCTTTTAAAACATTTAAATGTATTGTTTTAGCAGAGATGAAAAAGCATAATTTACCAGTATTGTACCTACAGTCAGCTTTGACACGGAGAGGCTGTCAGAGATTTTGACATTAGAAAAGTACTTCCCAGTGCCTTGGGCAGAGCAAAGGTCTGTGGATAATTCCTTACCCTGGGAGACAAGGACCACACTCTGCATCATTCTCCTGATCCCCAGGTGTCATGACTGTGGCTCGAAAAAATCCCTCGCAGTCCTTGTGCCGTCGGCATATCTGGTACCCTCCTTTGGAAAACTTCTCTGAAGGGCAGGGGATGCAGCCATAGTCCTCATCTTTGGTGCCATATCCACATGTCTGCAACAACACACAGTCACTCAGAAGCAGTCTTGTGCTGCACACCAACTTCTAGCAAAAGAGAAGCTCACAGCCTGCCCCATTGGCCTTGCAGCACAAAGGGAGAGGAGTCTGTTGGTTGGCCTGTTAGTGTCTATCCTAAAAAGACCATGCAGGGATAAAAGGATGCAGCATGCTGTGTGCTGGAAAGGGAGAAGGGGAACTGGAGAATTATACTGTTTGTAAGTGGTCCCCCCAAACTACTTCTATCATAGTCCTGCAAATTGTGGAAGTGAATTTCAGCTGCTGCTAGGATAGAGAGTGAGCTAAAAATGGAAGAGTAGAGAAGACTCCTGTAGGAGAAACACAGCTGCAGCAGGGCTATCAGCAGTTTCAGGCCAGGAGACCCCAGAGGGAACAGCCCAAAAGGCAATGTTTGGACGAGATTTTGTAACCTCTGAACTCACATGTCCCAGCTTACATTTAGATTAAATAAAACTAAACCAAACTGGTTATTCAAACATATTTGTTTGGGACTACCAACTGTGTGAAATGCTTGCAATAGGATGTTTATCCCATTAAAACCAAACAGGATTTCAGTAATTTATTTTTTTTAAATAGGCAACAATTATCTGCTGTAAATCAAATGGTTACTTAGGAACCATGATTTAAAATATGGCAGAAACAATCAAGTTCCTCTAGTGCCGAACTATCTTAGCAGGAGAGCAAAATTAACTTGTCAGTGTGAGGAACCAGCAAGCAAACCAGACTGACCAATTTATCACTCTGTGTTGGAATGTCAGCATCAGATTCTAAATAACTACTGAGATGAGAACAGACTGGCAGAGACTGTGTATGGAACTTGTACCTTTCCATTTTTACAGTATCCCTTGTAACAGGCTGCTCCTGGGATATGGATTGCTGGCATGCATGCGAGATGCCATGCTCACACTTGGAGGTGAGTGTGCTCCTGCTTAGGCATCCACAGCCTTCCCATTTCCTTTCCCACCCATTACTTCCACACAACAAAGCATCTGGGTTTTTTGCATTTGGTGCCTGGTATGCTCCCCCCAGCAGCAGAAGAAGCCGAAATTACCATGTAGGGCTCTTCACCCGGCTCACACTTGGGGCAGTCGTGGCACATGCCAGTGGTCTGGTTGTAGTACTCGTTCTCACCACAGCTGGAGTATTCGGCACTGGCAGAGTACACCAGGGAGACCTGTCACCAGAGAGCATTCCAGAGCACTGTCACTTCCACTGCCACCGTCCTCCATGCCTCACCCCCTCCCCTTGCACATCTGCTGTTGTCCAACAGGCAGCAGGGCCAGCACTGCAGGGTGAAACACGCCTAAAGCTCAGAAGCAGAAGTGGTGATGCTATTTAAATGGAAGCAGATGCAGGTTTCAGCAACCTGGTAGTTCCAAGAGTTTCTCAGAGACTGACATTCATGCTTGTTGGCACTGCCTCTCCTTAAAACACTGAAGGCCATGGTTCCTGACCTGTTAACTCATATGCTCTCCCACAAAAGCAAATGCAGGAGTTCACACCCTCATCACTCCCAGCTCTAATGAGCCTTCATAAATGTGACTGCAAGGGACAACTATAACAACCAGAGATAATGCACTGCCTCAGGCCTCAACCACAATAGGGCTGGGCTTCATGTGATAGCCAGGCTAATGTGCTCTTCCAGCACTTTCTGTCTCTGCTCCATCCTGGGTCCTTCTCCTGCCTGCTGCTTCCCAGCAGCCACAGTTTAAACTTCACATTCTCAGGTGTTCCATGGAATGAAAACAATCACTGCATTGAGGTTCAGTCCCCAGGTGATGTGTGGCTCTGCCACGATTCACAGGTGGTTATGAATAACCCAGGCAGAGCCCTGTTATCTTTGCACACTAGAGAGACATGTACACAGAGAAATACCTACCATCAGGAAAGGGAACATGTGAGTCCATTTACGTTCACCCAGGTGAGCCATGCTCTCTTGATATTTTACCTGAAAAGATAGAATTGGTTTTATGAACATGAGTAAATATTTGTGTGTGTTGCCAAAATAAGAACAGAAGGGCTCATAAGCAGAACAAAGGTTACATGGGAGCAATGCCCAGAGGTCTAAACAAAGAGGGGGGAGATGTGCACGTGCAGTCATGCACACACACAGACACCACACCCCCTTTCTGCACACCTCTTTCCTCACTTTGAGCAGATAATGGCAGGAGGGCATCCAGTCTTGCCATATTTGCAAAAATCTGTGAAAGACGAGGAACCAAGTCTGAATTCTGGCACCTCTTGGCTTGCTGAGAAATCCTCCCATGGAGGAATGGAGGGCTGTGTTTTGACCACTGAAATGAAGCAGCCTGGCTTGTGGCCACACCAATTAGTGCTTGACCACACTACATCAGGTTTGTCTGGGAAAGATCCATATGGAGCAGCCAAAGCAGAGCCAGGGAGTGAACCAATGGCAAGCAGTGTGGGCAGTCAGGACACCAGGGCTGCTCTTTCCTTGCTGGCTCCTCTGGATGCACTGAGAAAGCCCAGAGCTGCTTTCCCTTCTTTAGGAAGCATCAGCTGCTTTTTGTTCTTGTTAAGCAAACTGCAGATTTAAGAAGTTAAACCCAAGGAAGGAGCAAAACCTTATATTATTCAAAAAGCTGTAGAAACAGCTGGGAAAAAGAAAGGCTGAAATCAATGTTACAAACACACGTGCTTATTTATTTAGTTTTAAAAAATTATTAACTTTGAATAAGAGCTAATGTTCCACGTTCAAGTACTGAATTTCTTTCTAAGGTGAAAAAAGAGACAGGAAAAGGAGCTCAAATTGGTTTTTTTAAGCATGATACAACCTATTTAATTATATTGTTACAGCACATAATATGCCCTGGGGGTTTTAGAGCTCCAAATTGCAAGTGCTTGTGATACAGTTGCGACATTTTGCTCCTACCAGATGTAAAGTACTCTTTCAATTTTCCTTGTCTCAGACGCTGGGAGACTTTTAGCCTCCCAGAAGAGTACAATTACTGCTTTGTGCCACATTCGAGCATACAACTTACATGAGAGCAGTGCTCTCATTTGAGATAGCTGCTAACATTTACATTTTTAAACACTAAGTAGATTAAGCAAAGATTATATCACTCCAGCATCAAGCTATGAACTTGCTTTATATGTTCCTTCCAGCAATTGGGCTAGCTGAGACAGGCAACTGGGTGGGTGGGTGGACAACCTGAATCATAAGTATATTCGTTTGTGCAGGAAATTGCACTTTGAAACCTAGAAACAAAAGAGAATCAGCGATAAATTGTCCTAAATCTGGAGGTAAGAGATGGAAAATAGTAATTCCATTGTACAAAGTGTCAAACATGAAGTTGGAAGAAGTCTGTGGCAGTGCAGTTGCCTGGAAAAGTTCCAAGAACATTGTCTTAATTCTTATGTATGTTAAACTGTACCCTAATTATAAAAGAGTTTGTTAGACCTTAGATATTAATATTATTTAGGCCCCACTGATACTGCTTAATTATCACATTTTTTATAAATCTGGTCGGAGGCAGCTCAGAACCAAAAACTTCAGCAGTAAATGTTGAGTCTGTAACTTTACAGTAAGAGTCTATCTTACAGCAAAACCATGCACCAGTTGCTTTCAAGCCACCCAGATGTTCTCTGTTTGAGGTACTTGCAATCATAGCCAGATTTGAAAAATGGAAACGAGGAAGTACAGCCCACTAATATTCCATACAGTCTTCTTCATTTGGCATTTATTTACATAAAATGTTGAAAGTGTCAAATTATACATACATAAATAAAATATTTTTCTCTCTCTTAATATAAATATGCATGTGGGGTATGTTTTGTATGTAAACATACTTTTTCCCCCCCTGCATTCCTTCATTTTATGCAGCAATATGTCAAGCATATGGGAAATACTTCTTTTAACTGGAAAAAGCCATTACAAAGTGCTAGATTAGAACTCCAGGGGAGGCTTTTCCCACAAATTGCAATATCAAAAAAGTTACATTTTGGTATTCATCCTCCTATTCAAGTACACTGCCATAAATTGGCTGTGTTGTTTCTGTTGGTTTTATTTGTTTGTTTGGTTGGGGGTTTTCCTCCTTTGGTATTAAAACTCAAAACACTTATTTTATAACACTGGAGTGAACATGGGAGTGGGGGGAGGGAGATGAATGAAGTTTCTGGCAGTAGGGTCACAGGTAGCTACTCAGCTGGGGAGATACCAGAAGGTATCTACCAAGATATGCCAGGCTGCTCTTGGGCTTGCTGTCAGTCTTCAGGCACGGTAAGTTATATCTGCACCATGCTATCTGTCACTCATTAATCCCATCCACACAACAAAGGGTCTTCTAGTGCCAAAACTGCTTTTGTTTCCAGCTGGCACCCATGAAGACACGTTCAACCAGCCAGCTTCTGCCAAGAAGCAGGGAAAAGAGTGACCAGACATTATGGCCCCTAACCATTGAAATAAATTAGTTCTTAATTAATTATTCTCCTTCAGCTGAAGCAAATGGCTTTCTCCTGTGGGCTGGAATGAAGCAGTGAGCAGGAAGGAGCTGGAGGTGTATTTTTGCTGGGACTCTGGTATCGCTCCTAAGGAATTCGGGATCTCCGGCTGCTTGTCTGCCAAGCCCTGCAGAGATCCTGATTTGTGTTTTTGTTTGGGATGTGTGGGTGTCTCCAGAGAGGAGGTGTAAAACATAGATGGTGTCTTTGTGGATCAGGTGTGCAACACACAGCAAGTCTCGTCATGACTAGCGGGGGTTGCTAATTACAGCTATATTTGTCTTTTGGGCATATTCGTTAATAGCTGGTAAGAATATACCTCTAAGATGACAGGAAAAGGAAGACTATTTTCCCAGTGGCAACCACAGCAAGAAATGCTACAGACTCCCTGTCTCAGCTACTTTCCTGTAGATGCAAGGAAGAAAGTTGGGGAACAGAAAAAAGAGATCACTGGGACCCTATTACTCAAATATTTCTCCTCTCAGACCAAAAATCCTTCCATACAGTTCTTGTGGTTTCCTATCAAGAACTGGTAGGTACAAATAAATAAGTAAATAAGTAATTAAATAAGTAAACCACCAGGTAGAAAATGTTTAGTACCTGCTGTCTAAACAAAGAAAAAGCATCATTCATTGTATTTAGTCTTCGAATTTGATAATTTACTTAGATTATTAGGTAGCACTGCCATGATTTATTTACAGCATCCATAATTATAATCAGAAAGAATATATGAAATGTGCAAACAATGAGGTTACCACAGCTGGTGGACTAAGCCAAAGCTCACAGCTTTCAATGGATGACCTTACATGTTCTTCTAATTCTCTGGCTTCAGTAGGTAATACAGTGGAAAAATAATTTCCTATCACAGACTTTTTTGGTTTTTAAAATACAGTTGAAAAAAAGGAAGAAAACAAACACATGGACTGAAGCACAGGAATGTTTCTCATGTAGACAAATGGGGGCTTTTTCATATCTCTTTATTTCCTTAGTTTCACCATTGACATAGATATACTTCAACGACAGAAAACAACCTTGTGAGAGGGAAAGGCACAACCACTGTCTCAAACAACTTTGCCAATTCCAATAGGCCTATGCACATTTCTTTTCTGGGGTTTCCTAAGCAGCAGTTTGGTTATCAGTGGCTAGGAATGTAATCCCTAAGTAGCTGGCAAATTGGTATCAACCATCAATCCACATCCAAGACCCCAGCTAACAACAGCAGAATGCGAGACAAAGGCTTTCATAGAAATAGAAGTGGGCACATTTCATGTCCTTCACAGGGCCACCAGCAAACCCAGCACTTGTCCTGAGTTCCCAGGATTTATGGGAAGAACCTCACAAACCACATCTTCCACAGTATCACAGTTTTTTGCATGAGCTCAGTAGATAATCTCTGTATGCTCCCGATGGTGCTAAATCCTTCTTAAGTAAGATAAGCATATAATCCTCACTGCAGGGCCTCACAAGCTTCAGAGTTCAGCAGCAGAGTTCAGCCTGGCTCCAGACTTCTGAGAAAAGATGCAGTCTGAATTTTGCTTTCAGGAGGGAAGCCCATCACTGAATGACAATGATGGCACTGCATGCTCAGGGACAGAATAAACTCAGCAAATTAAAAGTAAATGGAAACACAGAAATGATGGAAGAAAACTGTTTTGCAGCCTTAATTACAGTTTGCATTGTTGTGAAAAAATATTGTACGGAACATTATTACATTCGTAGGACAGCACCAACTATACTGTTTCCCACTGTTTCTTTATCACTTTGACTTTGCAAATACCTTAAGAATTTCTTCAGAGAGTTGTAAAAAGTGCTAAAATGATACAACTCTATTCTCCCTTTTCACCCGAAACATCAAAAGGCAGTGAGAACAGCCCAAGCTACACATAAAACTTTAATTGCCCTGTGATCTGGCAACCCTGTCAGAAAAATAATTGATTAATTGAGCACAGAAACAATACTTTTTCCAGTGGGAACAGTATTGACAAGAGGAGACAAAAGATTCTTTAATTTGTTAATGGGGGCACTGTGTTTTGAGGACCTGGGGACAATCAAACCGAATGAAAAGCCATCCATCTCCTACAGGGTTGCTTATTTGGAAACCACGTCTGGAAGTTGATATTTGAACCCGTTTTTTCACCATACACAAAGACATGTGTCAGCTCTCAGGTAGGGAGCTCATCGACTTTATGAAACATTCTTTGGGGGAAAAAGAGGCTACCATGCAGGAACAAAGCAAAAGCAGGAAAGAAGGAAAGGCTTTTCTAACACACTTTGCACGACTGACACGCATTTGTGCAGAAAGGGGGCATTAACAAGGTCTGAGAGGAGCCTGGGGTTTCCCATAGTGCACACACTGTTGGCTGGTACCGAGCCAGCTGTGCCCCAGTCCCCTTGCTGCTGGCATGACCCTGATTCAGCCTCTCTCCTGGGCTGACATTGGTTTTACATTGGATGCCAGCAGCATCCCTT